TAGATTTGACAAACCCTGTAACTCTTCTGAAGTTTTCAATGCTATTTTTAGGAAGTGAGGCTTGTAGTTCTTATTAACAGTACTAAGTAAATTCAATGAAATCCACTGTCTTAGCTTTTGATTCAAAACATTAGAACAATTTTCTATTGCTCTTGCAACCTCTCCCAATGGGACCATTGTATCAGACCCTGTAGTAAACATAGGCCCTGAATGAAAACAGTGCCATGTGCTATTCTCTGCACCTTAAACACAGTTTATTTTCACTGACTGTCCACTTCAAGAATCTGAGTGTTTTACCACAGGAGGGTTGAAGGGTGGAATTTGCATCCCTGAATAATTTAATTGGATGTTGGATTTACATGGTGTCTTTTAGTCAGTCTGGGAGAGGCTATCAGATAATTAGATGTGAAGTACACAGTAGTGATCTAGACTTACAGACCTCAGAGCCTTTGGAGGCAGCTCTGTCTGATGACATCTAGTGAATTGTGAAGCTTTTCTTTGAAAATTAAACCAAAATTAATCAAAAAGGATAAAATATGGAATTTACCTTTAAGCATCAAAATGAATTTGCTGTAACCAGATACAGGAAAATGTACATATTTTCATATGTAATACACATGGAGCAGGTTTTGCTTTTTTCTTTGTTGTTTCTAAGAACCAAAGCCCTGTGTCGTCAAAGTATTTTAAGCATTTGCTACTAAAGTAGATGTGCAATGAACTTTATCACTTTCATCAGTATTAATCATATCACATGAAATAAAGCTTGCATTTAAATCTGGATGAGAACCAAAATTGCCATGTGTTGAACTGGTGGTAATAATATGAAAGGCATTACAGCTATATGCACTCCATTCTGACTTTAATGTGTAGTTTCAGCTGTGGATATAGATGAAGTGTTTGACAAAACAGAGCAGTAAGTGTTGTTGCTTATTTGAAAAACTACATCAGTCCTGTCAAGATTGTCATCTCAGTATTTAATCATCCTTTTAGATTTACCCCTTCATTTCCATAGAAGAGAAACTTGGCTTCTAGTCACTGCTTATCAGGAAGATAGAGCTGCTTGCTTTATTTTATTTTTTTTGCCTCGAATGAAGCATCTTTATGGGTTAGAGTTTCTTCCTCTAGTGCATGCTTGGAACACTCTGTGGGAAGATCCTTGCTGATAGTCTGATTTGATGGAGTAAAATGACCCTCTAAAATTAAGCTTTATGTTCAAACTGCACTTCAGGAAAAATAATTTTTGAAATATTTTACTGGCAAGAATAAGAATTTCTCTAGGATTCTGCCAGCTCATACTTCCAGTTTAGATTCTCTTTCCTTGTGACTCATACTGGATTTCTGTCTTGCAGAGAACTACATTCTACTTCAGTCTTACCTGAGCAGTTAGGAAATTACTTCCAAAATCCCTGTATTGAAATAGATAACTCTTAGCAAATCATACAAATAACCAGTCTGGTCTGCTTCACATTTTACAGCTACTGAAGCAGGTTAGATGACTGGGAATATCTGGACAGAACTAAAGGTCAGAGCTAATGAAAAAAATCATCTAGTATTGTTAGCTAACTGGATACAGAGATCTAAAGGAACACCCAGTTCCTGGGATGAAGCTATGACCTGCTTCTGTGAACTTTCTTTATTATCTATCAGTAATAGTCCTTAGATTCAGCTGGGACAATTTATCACTTAAATTGCTTCCACCTGTAAACCTCTTTATAACCAATTTAATCCCTTTAATTTCATATTATTATTGATTCAGAGAGAAGTCAATGAGAAAAATCAGTAAGTAACTTAATAAGGTAAGGATGATCTTTGCTATGAAGCCATGCTGTAGATCAGCAGCTTGCCTGCTCACTGGGTATCTCATTTTCAGACTCAGGCAATCTAGTTTAAAAAAATATATCTTTGCACTCATCAATTTTATAGAAAGGTCTTCTCCTCACCACTGAAACTGCAGCGTAATCAGACTGGCAGTTACAGGAGGGTCTTGGAACAGAGCAGTGAGAGCCTATGAGGTCTTGAAGTGCCCCAGTAGCTTTGTAGAAAGCAGCTGTGGGGGCATTGTTCCCTCTGACCTTCCTCCTGTCTGATGTTAAGGGGTTGTCTGGTCTGTTCACTTCAAAAATCTTGGGAGCTTCACTCTGTTCTGGTTTTAAATAACTTGAAAGAGAACAGTTGTAAAAAGAACATATATCACATTACTTCTCCCTCTGACTGTGAAAAAAATGTTTAATCATAAATCAAATTTTGCCTTCTCTTTTCAGTAACATTGCACATTGTCCTAGTGGTGCTGGGATTCTTGGCTGGCTTTGTATGGCGTAGTACCTATTGTTTCTACAGAGTTTATTTACCTCAGGCCAGAACTCAATAAATTATTGTAGTTTGCTCTGGGCAATTTGAATAAATTCCTTTGAGCCAACTTGCATTTTGAAAAAGGGTGAAGGGGAATATTTTGGATTAGAGTTCCATGTTGCTAGTGTATTCCATGTTAATTGCCCTGTGAAGCAAATACAGAGAAGTACACAGCTGTCCAGCTGTGAGAAGGATGCTCTCATTCCTAAAGCATTTCCTGCACAACCCTGGGCAAGGCTCTGTTTCCATGCTTCAGTTCCCCAACCGCGACGTGGAGACACTTGGAGTGGGAAGCTCAACAACACATTTCTTCTGAGGCCCTCCAAAAGAATTCAGCCGTGTTCTTTAATGGCATTTCATAGCAGACTTATGTGGTACAGAATAACCTGCCCCAGTTGTAGAAATTGGAACCTGTCTCTGAGGAGGCTAAGAGTAGGCCTGTTGGATTATTATCTGATTTACGTAACGTGACGGTAGCTTGTTCGTGCTCATGTTCACTGACCTGAATGCATGAATATGCCAAAAGATAAGGGCTCAGGTTGCACAATGACAGCTGT